GAGGAATGAGAAATACAAAGGGAGCAGAACATGTGAGAGCATGTAGCTGGATATTAAAGCAAGGCACTGCGTGCAAGCTTGAAAATTTGAGATGGGACAACTGAATTGATGTACACTTGGTAGGAATCTGGCTGAGGTACCAAAGTACCTGGTAAAGAGCAAAGTCTGGCTGCTATGCCAAGAGCCTTTGGTGAGAGCAGTGTGCTTTGCTCCTTTGAGAAAGTAGCAAAGGAGGCAGGAGGTGACTGCAGTAGCTGTACAAAAGAGGTTGAAGGGCCAGATCAGGGCTCTGGTGGTGAGGAGCAGCAGTGATAGAGGATTTTGAAGATGTTGAGGAAAGGAACCGTTACCTTGGTGATAGACTAGGAAGAATCTGAAATAACCAGTGCCAGGGGAATTGGGAAGATTTGGAAAGTGCTACTGAAGCTCTACATTACAACTCGGGCAGTAAAACCGTAGGTCTGCTTTCCTTGACCTGACAGTAAGTATAAATCCAGACAGCCAGAGGAGAGACCAAGTTGCCTTCTCAAGACACCTCATAACTTTAATGTGTAGTATGTGTGTGCGCAAGCACACGTTTAAAGTCTGAAATTCTGGTTTGACAGATGGGAAGCTGACAAGTTTGGTGTCTTGCTCTGTCAAACAGTTAGGTACAGTTTCTTCGGGAGCAGACAAAGTTTCATCTTTACTGTTCTGAGGCTTTTCCTGTGGGAGAGCTGTCCTAACACATCACCTGATATGGAAAACGCCATGCACAATCCTTATAAATTCTTTGAGATTCCCCTTTTACTAGTAGACAAAATACATCAGGTGAAACAAAAGAAAACCTATTTGGTTACTATGCTGTGTAAAGGCAGTGTGAAGGAGCAGACACATCTGCTGGCTCTTTAATTACAAGCTGCAATCTTACACAAAAAGAAAAAACGCAAAGCTCCATTATGGTCTGCCATTATCCAGGAATAAATGTCATTAAGTCCTCCTAAAATGTAACAAGTTAAATACGGCGTTCCTAGTTTTTCTGCAACCAGTATGTTGTAGCATAGCTATTAACAGGCTGTGGGTGAGACAGAAGTAGTATTTCAGTCCCCAATGGCTGCAAAGGTGACCTTTTACTATTTGATAAGCATTGCTAAGGTGCCTACAGGTAATCTTGCTCTGCTGTAAATCATGTGATGGTTTAAGAGCTGTACTACAAATCCTATTTAGGCAAAAAAGTTGCACTTTATTAAGCTGTATCTTAAAATAGGTGGGAAATGATGTGTGAGCACACTAAAACTGTGCTAACCTGGGTTTGGATCAAGTTGCATAGGGATTGCCTTGACTCTGCTTCCAGCAGTCTCAGAAATAGGCCTCTTTCCTCAAAATTTAGTGAAGCTGCATTGAAACTGGCTTGGCTTAATATAGAGGAGAGTTTTACTCAGAGTTTGTGGTGCCACCACTAAAAGAGCCATTCCCAGCAGCTCCCCTTCTCCTTTATGCTCATACAGATCTGCAAGGAAGCAAACCAGACTTAGGGTCATGCTGATTTTTCCTTGGCCAGGTTGGCTTCAGGTCCATCTCATGGAAGAGCCATGAACTGAGCAAGAAGACTTGGTGGGTGCAATGCAAGATGAAGGAAGGAAAGGGAAATGGGCTGTTACAAGGATGTGGGAACTGTCCTCTGCTGTCCACACTGTTTTCCCAGTGATCCACCAGGATCTGTCTCTATGGCCCCAAGCCTCTACTGTCTCTCTTCAGGAGACTTTGGGTAGAAGCAGAGTGAAATAGAAGCCTGCCTTTATTTGGGGAGGCGAAAGGGAAGAAGTAGAAAGTGAGGCTTTAGAATGGCTAGTGCACTGATCATTGGGGCAGCTGAGGTGTCTGGGAGGGCTGGGCAGAGCACAGCTACAAGTGCCTGAGTTGGGTAGCCCCAACAGTGCAGAAGTTCTTATTGTGCATGTTTTAAATAGTTTCTGTGTTTGGGTAGGAGGGAGAATAACATGTACCAATCCTTCCTTTCTAAGCTAAGTGGGTTGAAGTTAGATAACACATGATGTGACAGATTGTAGCCCTTTGCCAAACAGCCTTTGCTTCTTCATGTGTGCCTTGTTCAGATTTACTAGTGCAGTTGAATTTCCAATAGAGGTACCTCCTTCAGTTTAGCTGGGGAGGCATCTTTGGCCTGCAAAATAGTGGTAAGGGAGTATAAGTGAAGTTAGCCAATTGAGCCATTAACAGATCTCCTGGTGTCAGGTGCTAAGAACAAAGGTGCCTTTATGCTATTTCTGTATTGAAGTGTAGTAGGATTCTCATCCCATTATTTCCAAGGTGTAGCCTTTTGGCTGATGTATGTACTTTGTAACATGTAATAAAGTTTATTCGGCCCACTTGACCTCGATGGTGAAGTTGGTGTAATAGAAGCTGCAGCTGGGGAATATGAATTATACTTTTGTTTGCCTTTTTTTTTTTCCATTCCTTTGGTAATTTTTAATCAAAATTTAATGAATCAAAATTAAACACTTCTGTATTCTCTGTAGATCTGCGCATACAACTTTGATGGTAGGTCTGCGATGATTTAGTGACTTGTGTCTTATACCATTGCCTGTCATTGTAGCTGGATGAAACCATCATGAAAGTTCAGATTTGTCAGTGTAATTCAGAGGAGTGTCTTTCTACTGACTGATGCTCTCCCAATTCTCTCATGAAGCCATTTATCTCTGTTACCTCTTTCTATAAACTTTATCAGTTATGAAGTGTCAGATATCGTCTCTTAAAGACTGGACTAGTAATCTGATATGTTGAATGCTGCATCAGTTGTCTTAAGTAACACAGCCACTGAAAGCTCCACTGCTCCCTTAAGCAAATCTTGGTGTATATGTAAGGACTATCTTACTGGCTGGAGGTAGTCTTGAGAAACAAAGCAGAATCACCCTTTGACTGCAAGGAGGCCTGTATCTCTGTAATACTGTTTAAGTTACAAACCTCATGTATCTGTGGTATCCACTGCACTACTGAAAGAAACCAAATGTGTAATCTTGGAAATGGCTGTAATTTTTGCTGTGGAAGCACTTTGCAAGAGGAAACTGTAATGGTGGCTTCCCTGTTTTGATCTGTAGGCTTAAAAACAGAGCTCCTAAACAAAAACATTATAGGACCCTCTCTTTTCTAAATGGATTTTTAACACTTTTTATTGTCTTTAATTCATGGGAAAACTTCTCTCTTCCCTTCCTACTTCCATGCAGCCCTTCCTCCATATGGGGAGGAGTCACCTAAAGGGCTTTCCTCTCAACAAGATTTCCTCTTTTCCTGCAACTTTGAAGCCAGGTTTCATTCATCAGACCCTATCTTGTAATAGAGTATTTCTGTGGGGACAGTGTCATATCCTGATAGCGCTAATTACAAACTAGCTGGAATTTGTTATCAGTGATAGGACAGTTAAAGCAGCCATCTTAGGGGAGAGCAGGAGAAAGTATTTTCCACTTGGAGGCAAAGGTTTTGACAGGTCTTACCCAACCAGAATTGTAAGGATCCAAATGTGACCCATCAAGGGAAGTTGACTTCAGAGATGTAGCTTTGCTGAATTTTCTGCTATCGGATGCTCTGTCAACATTCCCCCTCACCCTTTCTGAGGTATTAGTTCTTACTTTCTCTCAGTTATGGTTTGCTTTTTTCTTTAAAGTTTCCATGCATTGCCCAGCACAGAATGCAGTTGAGCCACAGAGCCAAACAGATGGTTGGGTCTGCTTCACTCTCTCCAGAAGAGTGTTTGCCTCAAGCTGCTGCAACCTTTTCATAGCTCCTTTGTCCTGCAGTGATCAGGAGCTCCGGATTTACTGAATTTTCTGCCTGTTCCTGTGCCCTGACAACCCGCTATTTGTTCCTGGCTGTGCCTTGTGGCTGCCAGGAGAAAGTGCTAGGAAGGCTGGTGAGGGAGCACTTTATTGCTTGCCTTCCCTCCCTTTGATCTAGCTACAGAAACTCAGGCTGTTACATGCACTGCAGCTTGGGTTCAGGAGGGTTAAGGCTGGTAGTTCACGTTTTCCATTCCATTTGTAATCTTGGAGGAGAAGGTTGACCTTGAGCGTGATGGAAATGCCACAGTAGATGACTCCTGGTGGGTGGAGGAAGATGCTGACAAAGTGTCTGTTCTGTTCTGCTCATTGGCTTGCTCTTAGGAAGTCTGCTCACCCCTGCCTAGCTGGGAAGGGGATAGATGCTGCAAATGAACAGAGATGCTGAGTTTTTGGCTCAGACACCATACTTTCAATCTAGCCTGCGCTTTTGAAGTGTGTGTCTTAGTTCTGGCCCTTGTTTACCACTGCAACAAACCTATTTCTCTGAAGTGAGGTCTACAAAAAGTATGCAAAGCACTTCACAACTCACGAGTACAAATGCTGTATGGTTTCCTGTCAAATGCAAAATGTCTTTATTCCTTTATCACTTTTTTAATGCTGTTTCAAGCTTGTTGCTATAGACCTGTGCTGTTTGGGAGGTGCCAGGAGAGCAGTGTGATGGGCCAGCCCCTCTGAGCTGGGGAGGATCAGTCCTTCTCGGGATGCAGGGCTAGGGTTTCAGTAACACAATGCTTTCTGCAGCCATGTGCCGTGTTCAAAGAGCCAACTGGCTGGAGCTCCCACGGTGACGCTTGGCTGATTTGGCAGGCAGGTTGATTCTGTCAAGTTACAGTATGGGAGTTAAGTCCAGTTTCAAAACCTCCCCCTTACCCGCTCGAGGAACTTGGGGGGGGGGGGGGGGGGTAGAAAGGCGGGGAGAAGCTCTCAGGGGACTTTGTGTCATTATTGGCATGGAAGCACTTTGTGATTATCAGCAGCAGGGTAGTGGCAAGGGGCTGATTATCTGTCATGTCGTCAGCATAAATAATCAGTGGGCCCCTGAGCAGGGCTCCGCCTTTTGTAACGGCTCCACGTAATCACTGCATAACAGTTTAAAAGCAAGCAGAGCAGAAAAACAGCTGGACTGATTCTGACCCTAACTGATGTTGCCTTTTCTTCCCTCACTAGAAGAGAAATATGTCACTATCCAGCCGTACGCCAGCCAGGGGAAGGATGAGATTGGGTTCGAGAAAGGGGTCACCGTGGAGGTCATCCAAAAGAACCTGGAAGGATGGTGGTACATAAGGTAAAGAAGCCATGCAGCCAGGCTGCTGCGGAAACTGTGACAATGAGCTTTTCTGATCCTTCACTTAGTGTTTAAATCATTCCGTAGCTAGGCAAGGAAGCCCAAATTGTTCATAATGCCTCTTGAAGAAATGTAAAGAAAAGGCTGTGATGATACAATGGTGGTTAAAGTAACACTGCAGTGTCTGTGAAAGCTGTGAACCATTCCAGGGGGGAAATTCCTGAACTTGTAGATTATTTTCTTTCCTTCAAGTTAAAAGCCCGTATCTGAGTTAAGATCGGTGAGACCTATCAAAGCTTTCTGTTCTGTGTAACTTAGATGTGTTTCCGCTATAAGAGTTATTCTGTAACATGTTTAAATCTATTGATAGCAATGCCGAAAGGCTGATTGCGATCTCTTGAGCTGTCTGGGGGAGGTAGTGCTATTTTCAGGGATGGAAGGGATCAGTCTGCTGGCTATAGCCCTTGTCCATACTTATTGGTGGTCTCATAATTTGCCTGATTTCTGCCTGTCCACCTTAGATATTCCCAGTCTACAGAGATTGGATTCTGAGGGCAGGTGAAGTTATCATTGCCTATCAAACTTTGTTATATGTTTGAAACAATAGTCATAGAAGATAATTGTGACTTAAGAATTCTCCTTTTAAATGCTGATGGGGAGGATGTAGGTTAGCTATGTAATATAATTACATAGTAATTATATTAGTAATAGTAATATAAGGTCAGGAATGAGTACTTACCGAGAGCTTTCTCAACCTAGGCATACACAATACTTAAGGTTTAGTGCTTTTTCTTGATTCTGCCCCTTGTTTTGTATCTGTATGTGAATCTGCCAGTGATGTGAAATCCAGTTTCTCTTTAAACAAGATGTGATACTACAGGTAGCTTATAAGCAGAGGCTTCTCTTTCAGGCAATGAAAAACATCTCATCTAGTCATCTTTTTACATTCAGCTTGTAAATGCAGTGGTTATCTCTTCCCCTTTCCTTCCCCAAGCCAAAACTTGCTTTTGTTTTGAATTCTGCTTGATTTATCAGCTATGAATGAGGACTATGAAAATGCTGACTGAAGCAGTGGTGTTATTTTTCTTGATGTCCGTTACTTAGAAAACTGATACTGTTGAGTTATGGGGTTTCTTAATTTTTATTTTTAACTTCTGTTTAATGTTCCCATAGAGGGAATAGGCTAATAAAGGTAGCAGTGGAGCCAGGAAGGCACTCTAGATAGGAAGAACTCAAAAATGCCTGGGTTTGGTCAGGTCACATATTTTTTTCTCTTTTAATCATTCACAGAAGTGGAATCCAAAGTTGCAGATAGAGGAATCAAGAGCATATAGGGGCTTTTTAGAGAAGAGAAACACTGCAAGACGTCTTTTAACTTATTTTGCTATTCTTAAATGAAGCCGTATGACTACTGTATTCCCCTTTGCAATATTAACAGTTCTACAGGAAGCAGAATTTCTTTTCTTTCTCCCCACTTTTCCTCACATACTCCTTCAGGCCAACCCAAAACACGCACTTTTCTATATAGCAGAAGTGGATTCTAGTGGACAGTGACTCTTGCTGCAGTAGCTTAAGTAAGCACTTCATGGTGATCTACTGCAAGGACAGTGGATGCTCCAGCCACCCCATTGTAGTTAGGAAACACAGCGTGCCCTTGGCTTTTTTGTAAGAGGCATTTTGAGTTGAGCAACCACTCTTCTTGTTGAAAGGTGAGTTAGGGCCTTCCCATACGTGTGTGACAAATGTGTGCCTTAAAAGGAACAAATCTTTCTGCAGTGAGTGTGGGGGAAGAGAGAGCAGGAAGAGAGTGCAGTTGAAGCCTGCTGCCTTGTTGTCTGCTAGGAGACTGAATGCACACACATCAATGTGTAAAAACAAAAAACAAATCCAGCAGCTTGCAAATGAAATCCACCTTAAATGCATTAGCTTGTTCCACCTTAAATATGTAATTTCCCCAAATTCCTGGCCATGTGCTGATCCTCATTTCCTGTCCTTTTTCAATTTTTTTTTTCCTTTTTTTTTCCTTTTTTTTTTTTTTTTCCCCTAGTTTGCTTCCCTCTGGAGTAATTCCAGTGCTCTGGAGCTGGAAAGCAGATGTGACTCTCAGACTCACAGAGGCACTTCTGACTCTTTTTTTAACATTCCTATGGTTTGAATCCATTTTTTCCTTCATGTAATATAAATAGGGAAGGTTTTGGAATCTCTGAGGAACAAAATCACTGCACCTAATTCTGCAGACCTCACAGTTCAATGCTGCAGAAGCTAGAGGCAATATTTGTGTCTTTATTTTGCTCTGTGTGCATTATGGCTTCAAAATAAGTAAATAAATAAATTGTTTGGATTCTGGAGAAGTGAAAGAGAGGCTCTGACCTGGGATCCATCTTGCTGTTCTACTGAGCTCAGTGGATCTGTGCGCTCCCCAGAATAATCATGACTGGCATTAGCATCCATTATTAGATCTTGCTTTGTATCAGTTACTGTCGCCTGGAGGTAATCTCATGGTGCCCAGGTGGTTTGGAGGCCAAGTAAGTAGCCTTATGCTAAGTAAAACTTATTTGCCCACATCTTCATTTTGTGGTTAGTTGTGAGCCCCAGCCCATGTGAATGAAGTGTAGTTGGGAGGTGTTAGTGGCACAAAAAGGAGGAGGAATCTAGGATGGGGTTTGAAATGTCTCCAGTAGGTTGTGAACGTTAAACAAAGGAAGTAAGTTTGGGATTCATCTCTTGATGAGAAGATTGTAACTTGTTCAGGACTTCTCTGAAGCTGATAAGCAGTTACCCTTGCTCTTCATTCACCTATAAAATAGGGAGATAAAGTAGTTTTCTAAGGTGATAGGTGCAAAGGTCTTTGATATTACCAGATTCAAGAACTATTTGACTTCCGTAAGTAGCTTTTATTTGTGATGTTGCACAAATAAACTGACAATTGCTGGCAGTAAATTTCAGGTTGAATTTACTAACTCGCAGGAAGAAATAACCAGCAACAGCTTCTCTACTGAGGGTATGTTGCCCAAAGTTATTAACTGTCCAGATATTGCTGCTACTATTCAGTAGGAGAAACTATGCGAGATCAGAGGTGTCTGAAGCAGCAGGGTTATATGGGCTGATCCAAATACGTACGGTTGGCAGGAGAACTAACATGCCAGTACAGAACCTGCCTGTGGCTGCCTTTCTGATCTTAAACGTGTTAAGTCTCCCACAAACTAAGATGGATGTAAACTGTTTTTTCTTGCTGATTTTGCACAGTCGGGCTCTGTTGAAAGTAACCTTGGAGCTGGAGTGCTCAGTGCATTGGCCAATGAGGCTTTCTCACAGATTAAAATCTTTACATCTCTAGTTCATATGAAGTTATAAATGGCCTTTAAAGAAAACTTCTGTGATTTCTGCTGCCTGGCATTGGTCAGTAGCTCTGCCAAAGGGCCTTCTACTTCAAAAGGGGAGGAAGCCAAAAGTCGTCAGGGTTGGAAAATGTCATTGAGAGCTGCCTTGTCACAACAGGGGATGTGGCACATATTCAGGCCTTTTGCATCTTGACATAGTATCAATGGCTGGATGCTGTGTACCTGTTGAAAGTCAAATCAAGTTGTTACTTGCTGCTACCTGTTAGTCTCCACATGGCAAATAAAGCTCAGAGTTGTTGGGATTCTTTCCTTTTATACCAGAATCTTTGGGGAAGAACTTGTCACTAGGCTCTCTGAGCAGGAGAGATTCCATAACTTTGCTTTCATGTGTGACAGAAGGCAGGTATGTAGGGAGAAGCAGCATCACTAGTATCCTGGGTGATCTAGATGGGAGGGGAGGAAAAGGCAAGATCTTGCCTTTGTACAGGGCAAGTAATGAAGAAGTCTCAGGAAGCAAGCCTACACTGGGTGTTCCTGTTCTTATAAAGCCCCTGTACCACTCCTGAGTGTGTGGATGTGGTGAATGAGCTGAGTATGCCCTGGTGCAGGAATCTTACCATGACCCCAGAATCCAAGTGTTGGCATGGCAGAGTTGCTCATTTGCCAGAGAATGATTTGCTGATATTCTACCTCACCTGCCCCCCAGCTCCTTTCTCTGCTGTCTAATGAGTCTCCATTTTAATTAAAGAGCCTTAGAGTCCAACTGTTTTAACTTTTGTGTTTCCAGCAGATTTCCTGAGCACCAGGATGTTAATGGTGCCTGCTTTCCCACTTACAGTAAAGCTCCTGCCCTGGGTATTTCAAGAGATTAAAGAAAGTTTTCAGTGACTCATTCTGTAGCAAGTTAGTGTTTCGCTAGGGAAAGCAGAGTTCATCCACATGGTCATCCCTGGAGTCTGATTGTAATCTGAAATCCCTGCTGAGGTGTTAGGAATGGCAGGAGTTAGAAAAACCATCTTCCCAAAAGCCCAGCTGTGGAAGAATAACCTCAGTTTGAAGTGCAGCATGAGCAGCTCAGGCTGGTGCTCCAGGAACATGTAGTGGATTCAGGTGTCTGTTCAGATTTCCCAGTTTATTTCTTGAAGTAGCCTCTAACTTGTTCGGAGGAATGAATCTCCATCAAAGCCATTTTCCTCAGTCAAATTGTTTCTTGACTTTACAGTGCTAGAGAAAGCTGCAGTAGATTGAGCCCCATATTCTCCGTAAGAGAAACTGATCATACAAGACTGGGAGTTATGGGGGGAGCATCAGTGTATGTTAATAGTTGCAAGGGGGGGAGGCTTGAACAAGGGCTTTGAACCGTAGACACAAGGTCTGTGTACTGAGCTCCACACACCCTTAGTTTAGCCCTTTTCCCTTTTAAGTTGCCACTAGAGAGTATTGAAATATTTTACTTGATAATTTGCTTTTTTGCTGTATGAGAAAATACTGAGTTTGCCTAGTGCTGTTTGAGTGTGGCATAAAACACGCAAGTCCTTCCATAGGATGATTAGTGGGTAGCAGTCCACAGCTCATGGCTACCTCAGCTGACATGTTTTGATCAATAGGTAATAGAGACTGGAAAAGCTTATACAAGAACCTCAAATTTTGGTTTATGTTATCATCTATCACTTTTGCCTTCGCTATGATACCTTAAATGTGTGAGAAGACTATGTTTGATGTGATGATGTTTCATTTGCCTCTGCAGGTATCTAGGCAAAGAGGGCTGGGCCCCAGCTTCTTATCTGAAGAAGGCTAAAGATGATCTTCCATCTAGGAAAAAGAACTTAACTGGTCCAGTGGAAATCATAGGAAACATCATGGAGATCAGTAACCTGCTGAACAAGAAAGCATCCACTGATAAGGAAACTCAAGCAGAAAATGAGACTGCAGAAACTCATATCACCAAGAAGGAAATCAGCTTGCCCATCCTGTGCAATGACTCTAATGGCAATGCCATGATGACCCCAGACAAGCAGATTTCCAAACTGGCCCAGGGATCCCCAGCCATAGCAAGGATAGCACCACAAAGAGCTCAAATAAGTAAGGCAGTAAAGTAGTTTGGGTTTCCACTGGCTTTCAGTGAATTTGGTTTTCTACCTTTCAGGGCATGCATTGCCTAAATCCCATGTGTACTGGCTTTATAGCTGAGTCCACATGAGCAGATCTTTGCATTGTCTGTAGATGTGCAGGAATGCCAGGACATGGTCCTTCATTAGTAGTGATGACATTTAATTTCACTCTCTACAAGGGCTGGCTGGTGGTTCTTTATCTTAGCCGGTACGAGTTTGCTTTTTACTTTTTCCCAGAGCAGATGCCTTTCCTTTTGAAAACTCTAAAATGTGATCTGCGCCCTCAGTAATGCAGATGATGTGATGGTGCATTGTTAGAGTCAAGGAGACCACCTATGTCTTCTGTTGCATTTGTTCTGTTGTTTCTGTGGGGGGCAAATTGCTATAATGTTTTGACTACTTTGTCTGCAAAATGCGGATGCTAACACCAGTCTATGCAAGGAATGGCAAGATACCATGATAGAGGACAATGTGAGTGTTATTAATTTAGTGGATTATTTTTATCGCTTTGGGGAAAACTAGGTATTAGGCCAATTCTGTACTGGCCAATCTCCAGTGGAGCTGGTCAGTTCCAGAAGAAAATACAATCCACTACTTTCTGGCAGTGATTTCCTCTTAAATTTGCTGGCTTAGCTGAGATGAATAGCTAAGCTACCTTGGTATTTCTAATATATCCTCATAGTTTCCTATCTTTTTTCATGCAGATGCCTTAAATATTGCAAATACCGATAACTAATATTCTCAAATTATGTAACAGCAAAGAGCTGCTGAAAAATGTGTTTAGCAATACTTACAAAGTTAAATAAATTGTCCCTTTTCCCTTTCCTGCTCAGGTTCTCCAAATCTAAGAACAAGACCACCACCACGAAGAGAATCCAGTCTGGTTTGTATTGGTTTATGATATATGTTAGCAGTGGGGTAGGTGTGTGGGTGAGTTATGAGACTTTCTACAGCTGTACTGGGGGGGGGGGGGGGGGATGTATAGAATTATAGAATCACAGAATAGTTAAGGTTGGAAAGGGCCTTAAGATCATCCAGTTCCAACCCCCCTGCCATGGGCAGGGACACCTCACACTAAACCATCTCACCTAAGGCTCTGTCCAACCTGTCCCTGAACACTGCTAGGGATGGAGCATTCACAGCTTCCCTGGGCAACCCATTCCAGTGCCTCACCACCCTTACAGTAAAGAATGTCCTCCTTATATCCAATCTAAACTTCCCCTGTTTAAGTTTGAACCCATTACCCCATGTCCTATCACTATAGTCCCTAATGAATAGTCCCTCCCCAGCATCCTTATAGGCCCTCTTCAGATACTGGAAGGCTGCTATGAGGTCTCCATGCAGCCTTCTCATGCCTGTTCATTTTATTGTTTATCTGTTGAGCAGACCTTTGGACATCCTAACTTTAATTGGGAACTGCAGGGATAACATCCTAAAGTTACTATGTTGTGCATGAGCCTTAAAGCCTGTCTGGCTGACTCAGCAGGATTAAAGTTCCTCTATCTGTCTTTAGCCCAGACTGGATCTTTTGACTTTCTCTTGTCTTTTGTCCTCCTTCCATTCCTACTGTCTTTGAGATAGTTAAGCTTCACTCTTGTATATATTTAAGGTTACTTGAGACCTTATGGAGGATGTGTACTATGAGAATGAGACCTCCTATGATTTTTACCTTCAAAGCTGGAAGCCTAGACCATTTTGATTTTAGGACTGTGATTTTCAGATAGGAAGTACTAAGTAATCTATTAGCACAAATTCATGCTAATAACCTGTTTACAAATAGACGATACATGGTGTTTAATCTGTTGTACCCCTTTTTAGCAGTATGTGACTTACAATTTCTTTTGTGTTATCTGAGATCCCTGTTAACTAGATGAATAGCATATTGGCATTTTCTTCCTGTTTCTTTTTGCGTTATTTTCAAATAGACTTTGTTTTGGCAAGACTATTACTCTTAATCTTATGCTAAAAATAACAATGATAATATATATGAAACCCTGAACATGCCTGCTGTTTTCAATTATCTTCATTTAATCCAAACCATGCTATTATCTGAAGGCATTTTATTATGCTGCACTTCTGCTGTGTTTCAGCATTTATAGTGCAGAAACATCCAATTATAATATTGTTAGACACGGTTCCTAAGGTGCAGTGATGCATTCTCCATGAAATACCACATGCTGCGTTTCATCACATTCATGTGATAAAACTTGGGTTGTTAGTTACAATGAGGGTGTTTTAGAAATAGAGCAGTGTGAGAATAAAGCACAGTATGCAATTTGCCTTTCTCCCATTGCTGGCTTAGGATCAGTTTGTGTCTTTGGCTGTCCTGTACATGTCTGTGGCAGGTCTGACCTATGGTCAAGGGATCCTGACATACTGCAATTCTAGTGTTAGAACCACAAGCTGTGAAGCTTCACCAGCATCTAGTCATTCTGTAGATGAGCGCTGTGCTAATCTGAAAAGCTTTTGGTACTAAAATTCTTGAAAGGACTCTTACCCCATTCATCACCTTAAAAATAATTGTTATGAACTCTGAAATGCAACAGCTCAATGTAAAGGCACTTGGCTTTTAGAAGAGTCTGGTATGCTGCAGAGTGGCTGTAAATAGCAGTGTCGTGCTTCTTTTGGAGCCTCTGTACAATTTAAATGCAGGTTATGTTGGGATTGAGTAGAGGTTCTGGGTCTCTGTTACGTGGAGGAATTGGCATCTTGATCCTATAGTAAAGCCCTTCCTCTCTCTTGCCACTTCAGCTGAGCCGAGCTCTTCATGGGGTCTGTGATATTATTCTTGTTTCTTGCTACAACAGAATCCCATTAGCTCATATCACTCTTTCAGATGGTTTAAAAATCCCACAGCAGATTAAGAGCAATAATTCATTAGGATTACATTTTAAAGCCATATATTTGGTGGCGGGCAGAAACTGTTACAGGCCAGTTGCATTGTGATTTTCTGCAGTTGTGGCAAGCCATTCAGAACCGAGTCTTTCTAGACAAAATCTCAGAGTACATGGGCTGTTGTTACTGTGACTGGAACGGCAGCTCACACTTTATGGCCCATCAGTAAAATGTTTTACTGTTTAGGTAAAGATTATCACTGTTTTAATAGGTGGTGAAGGCAGCATGAACAGTGTGCATTTTGATAGGTTTCTCTCTTGTGGCCCATCTCAGCATATCAGCTTCCACTCTGGAGAACTGGGAAGTTATCATTAGGAAGTCACACAGGAATAAGGAAGAATTTTAGTGAATGAAGGCAAATACTTTTTTCGTTTTGCTGTTCAGCCACTGTTTCTTTGGTTTAACTGAACAAAACTCCCTATTTTCTGTAGGGTTTTCAGTTGCCCAAACCACCAGAGCCACCCTCTGTGGAAGTGGAATACTACACCATTGCAGAGTTCCAGTCATGTATTTCTGATGGCATAAGCTTTCGTGGAGGACAAAAAGCAGAGGTGAGCCTTAACAGTGCAGCTGGAAAAAAACTGTAATATTTGGCAATTGCAGGGAACTGGATTGAACAGGAAGGAGTGGAAAGCTTTCGGTTGAGACTTTTGTCAAAGTAACACGTTCCTTGTCATGTCCTAGGTTATAGAAAAGAATTCTGGCGGCTGGTGGTACGTGCAGATTGGAGAGAAGGAGGGATGGGCTCCAGCATCTTACATTGACAAAAGGAAGAAGCCGAATTTAAACAGAAGAACCAGTACTTTAACCCGGCCTAAAGTTCCTCCCCCAGCACCTCCCAGTAAACCAAAAGACCCTGAAGAAGGAACAGCTCCTGGAACAGTTTCTTCAGGAGATACCCAGGACTCTCCCCACAAGCTGAAATATGAAGAACCTGAGTATGATGTGCCTGCCTTTGGCTTTGACTCAGAGTGTGAAGGGAGTGAAAGTCATCGTGAAGAGGGCACTCTTGAAAAACGACTGTTTCAGCCCCTCAAGCCCTCTCCTATGTCATCACTTCAGAAAGCAAAGTTCAAAGTGGAAGAGTCTTCAGAAGAAGTTGCTCACGAAGAAGAGACCATCTATGAGAATGAGGGATTCAGACGTTATGTGGAAGATGCTTCATCCAATAAAGAATCTAGTGGAGACTCCGATTCTCAGAAAAGCTCTTCTCTCTCCCTGATCCAAAGGAATTCTCCATCTTCCAGCTCTCCTAAGTCATCACTTATGAAGCTCAAGATGGACAAAAACATTCAGCCTGATCTTGGAAAATGCCATTATTCCAGGAGTGAGGAAACAAAACCAAGGTCAGCTTCAGATGTTGGTTTACGTGGTGTGCCACGGACAGGCATGAAGAAAGAGCCTGGTCAGAGTCCTTCCATTAGAGCAAAGCCAATTGTTAGGCCCAAACCCTTCCTGAACAAGGCAGACTCTCAGAGCCAAGAAAAGATGGATATCAGCACTTTAAGGCGACAGCTGAGGCCAACTGGGCAACTCAGAGGTGGACTTAAAGGTTCAAGAAGTGAAGAGTCTGAGAGCCCCCCACATACAGCTTCTGAGAACCAAGAGGATCCTGTTAGGAGGAGCTCAGCTGATATCATTACAGCTCCTTCCCGTGGCATTTTCTGCTCTAGCCATACAGCCAAAACTGAGCAAGAAAATGACTCCAGATGTTTCTATGTGACCACTGACTCATACCAAAAGGTACAGGATTCTGAAATTTGCTTCCCAGCAGGAGTAGAAGTGGAAGTGCTGGAAAAGCAAGCCAGTGGATGGTGGTACCTGAAATACGGAGACATGGAAGGCTGGGCTCCTTCCCATTATTTGGCTCTCCCTGATAACCAGCGGGAAACTACATCAGCAGAGACCGATGCCTCAATTGCCAGGAACAGGAAAAATGAAAACAAGTCAAACAGTTTAGAGAAGATAGAGAAGAGGGTTCAGGCTTTGAACACCATCAACCAGAGCAAACGTTCAACACCACCCATCCCAAGCAAACCTCCTGGTGGTTTTTCAAAGCCATCAGGGCCAGTGAAAATGAGGAATGGTGTGAGGCAACTTGCCGTCCGGCCGCAGTCAGTGTTTGTGTCTCCACCACCAAAGGATAACAACCTGTCATGCTCCTTGCGCAGAAATGAATCTTTAACAACTACGGATCATCTTAGGAGTGTCCGTCGGAATTCCTCCTTTAGCAACGCATGGTCACAGCCTGGCGATGCGAAGGGGAAGCAGCCTGAGCGGTCGGGTACAGAGAACTCGGAGAACACCTCCAATCTCTCTACCCAGAGGAATGGGATTCCTGTGTCCACAGTCAGGCCAAAGCCCATTGAGAAATCCCAGTTCATCCACAACAATCTCAAGGACATCTATGTTTCCATTGCAGACTATGAAGGGGATGAGGAGACTGCAGGGTTTCAAGAAGGTGTCTGCATGGAAGTCCTCGAAAGGAACCCGAATGGCTGGTGGTATTGCCAGATTATGAACGGTGTGAAGCCATTCAAAGGCTGGGTGCCCTCAAATTACTTGGAGAAAAAGAACTAATATTGCAATATCTTTAACCTCCCTAATTTATACTGTTCCTGTTGTGTACATGTGGAAAAAAAAAACAAACAATTGCTACGCAAAAAGACGTTTCCCTGTGCTCCAGTTTGTACAAAGGGACAAAGGAGTCTATGCTGAGGACAAACCTGCTGTTCTGGAGAGGTTTGTGGGGCTAATATGTTGTAAACAGCTATGAGGAAGATGCAGCATAGTCAAATGCCTTTTTGTGAAGTTGTTAATAATCTTGTATGTGTAACAGGGTATGATATCCCATCTTTCCCATTATCGATAGGAAACCAAATGTGTGCCTTTTGTGAGAGAGAAATACACATGCATCTACTTGGGGAGTTTTGTGCCAAACTCTGTTTTACAATCTAGGCTCCCTTTCTCCTCATTCTTGTCTGTACATGGAATATCCAAGAGTTCTGGATGCATTTCCACAACTTACAGTGAGAAGGGAATGGAAGTTTCTGAAACACAGAGGGACTCTAATCCTTTGGAGATGTTCAATTCTTTTTTTACTATTCTCAACAGTTGGTTGGTCCAGAGTTGGAGCCTTTTCACCGTGGCGACATTTGGTCTCTTGACTTCAACTGTGTTTTGTTGTTACTGGTAACTCACCGGAAAAGGCAATCAGGTGGTGCTGGTTGGGGGCTTTTTGTTTCCTTTTGTTCTGTCTTGTACTTTGAGTTGGGATTTCAGGTGTTCTAGGGCAGCAATGCCTACTGGTGCTTGTAAAACAAACCTACAAACCCCATGCTTAAGCACGTTGATTACTTTGTAGACTCCATATTTAGTTCTGTGCCTGACTCCTGCCAGGTGATCCTGGTTGATTCTCTTCTCAGAGTCGGGTTTCTCAAAACTTGACATAATATGAAAATATTCGAAAGTCCCTTAAGACACTAAAGACAAAGCTGTCAAACGTGTTACTTCTCGTTTTTGTGATCTGGTCCAAATTCAAGTGTGCTGACTGCTGGCAGGGCCCACCAAGGTATTAGTTAGAAATAGCCGTGACCTTCTGCAACATCAGTGTTTACAATAGGGGGTGGGGGGATAAAGCCATCAAACTCAGTCTGCACATCCTTAATTTGTGTATTTTTTGGGAACAGTTTTTTCTGTGTTTTGTTTTTGTCTTTTCTGTACGTTCTTGGTTTACTTTTTTTTTAGTCTTGTTTTACCAAGAGAGACTTAAAACTGAAGGAGGAGCCAAATATGTGTTTCTGTTCCCACTTGAATCCAAAATGTACATTTGTACTGGAAAGCGTACCTGGGCTTCTCAGGCTCAGAGGTTTAATATCAAAGGAATTACACCTAAAATGCATCTAACCAGGAAGCTGCCTCTTCTAATTCCATTTCTAATTGCCTTTATTGATGCATGCGTTGAAACACGGCACATGGTAGGGAAAGTGTGGTGGGAAATGGAAGAGGCATCCATTGAAAAAGGCTTTGAACATCTTTTATTTATGAGGTTGCCAAGTCTTTTGCCCACATCCCTACTGTACTTGTGGAAGACATGGCTTTTTAGGGGGGGTTAAATGGCTTTGTTAATCACTCAAGATCAGTATCTAATTCCTTTAAATAATAGGCAGCATTGCAGATCTGTTTTTAGGGGGAGGGGCAGACTATTTCACTACTGGTTTACACAAAATTATACATGCCATTTTTTCCAACAGAATTTCAAACTGATTTGGCTTAGAAGCTAAAGGATATGAAGACTTAAAAATAGCTGGGATCAAGGGGCTGAGTAAAATAGCACAAGAATATCATGTGTTTCTCTGCCAAAAAAATACTACACAATTTATACGTTGTTCTTGTCTTTATTGTTGGGGGTTTTTGTGGTTTGGGTTTTTTATTAATTTCCCTGGTAACACTGAGAGAGTTGCCTACAGCTAACCTACACCTAACGTGACTGGTGTCTTTTTGGTAGCTGAAACAACATCCAGGTGCCACTACTGGCTATGAACAGTGCTGTGGTTCGAGCAGCTCTTTGCATCCAAGTGGGGAGGGAGGCTGTTCAGTTGGGGTCCCTTTATACTGTGGTGGCAGGAGAAGGAGGTGTATCTGCACAATAGCTCCTATCACAGTGTGCAGGGTCCTCTTTGTACCTTAGTATCTTGCCATATAATATGTATGTATATATCCAGTTAGCTACATCGTACTGGATGTGTATCTGAGGCATTGTGGCCCTGTCTCCCATACTTCTCCCCATTTTTAATTGTACTAATATGGTAGCAGCCATAAAAGACTGCTGGAGCTGTTGTGAGATTATAATAGAAGTATTATATTCTTCTGCTGGACAGTATTAAATAGAGCAATACATAGAGTTATCTGCTAGATTGCAGTACTAATAGTAGTGACTTAGTGACTCATATTAATGTTGTTGTGATTTATTTTAACAATAATGATGAGGAAGTGGTTCATTATTTTGGATTAATGCACTTTAACAATAAAAGAAAACAAAACGGAAGCCAATGCAGAGAAATAAGTGCATTATTTAAAGGTGCAGTATATAATTATCATTTTCTTGAAGCACATATTTATTAAGAATTAACTTATTATTTAAAATATTCTAAAGTTTTGTTTAAAGACATTCCCTCTAGGTCATCTCTTTGGGGGGATGTAAAAGCACAGCTCCCAGATCTTCTGCATTGAGCCACTGAATTCTCTGAATATGGTGTGGTGTGAGGTGAGCCCCTACCTAGGGAGAGGAAAGCAGCACACAAATGGGAGAGCCCTGACTACCACAGGTGTTCTCACCTGCATCCAGCAAAGTTGAGCACAGAGCAGCTCTCAACTGCAAAAGTGCTCACAGGGTTTGGAGTGGCAGAGCTGGTTTTGCCAGACAGTTGTGGTGCCGTGTCCTTGCATGAGGCTGGTCCCTGGTGGACACAGGCTCAGGCAGATCCTCACACTAACCTGTGAAATGCAGGCCACCTCTGTAACATCAGTCTGTCCCTCAGCTCCCTTTCCACCTTGCTGGCTTGCATCTCCAGCTCTGGCTTTTGCAGGGAGATGGTTTGCTGAGCTCCATCAGTGCAGGGGATGACACCTGGTGAGGGTGCCTGCAGCACAGCCAGGGTTTTCTCAAGCAGCAGCCCAGTGTCCTATGGCTCAGTTGCTCCTTTTTCACATCCCAAAGGTTTCATGGCCCCTGGAGCAGAGGCCAGGACCTGTAGATGGGCTGCAAAGCCACACTAGCTTCTTCCATCTGCCTCAGATAGGGCATAACCAACCTACTTGATGCTAGAAATGAATGTGGGCCACCACGGCCTGATGGGAAAGCTTTGGTTTGGGCTTCCCTTTATTTGGTGGCTGTTTTGACTGCTTGTGTTTGAAAGGTCACTTTTAAAGAAAATGCCCCCCCCCCCCCCCCCGCAGTTTTTCCCCCTCCCATTTTTACCATTGTCACAGCATCTCTCACCAATCTCTTTTTTTTATTCTTCCAACTGAGAGGAAAAGAATTACTTTTTCCACCAGCGAGCAGCTAGGTTTGGTCAGCTCCACTGATACCTGAAATAGCAAGCCCTTTCTACTATTAGCTGTGAAACAGAGTGAAAGGCCTTAAGCTAAATCAGAGAAGCTGACTGCAGGGCAGGAAAACCTGGCAGGGTGCCTCAAAGGACGGTGTAGTGCTAGAAGTGTTTTAGTTCTTTTCTAAAATGTTGATGTCGCCTTAAGCTTTTATTTTTACTAAATTTGTCGGAACTGACACTGGATCAAGAGCAATATTTAAATATAACATACACCTCAGTGAACACTCAATGCAGAAATCAACAGTACTGTTTAAATTTCTCTCTTTTTTCGGTTTATTCTTGAACCAGATTGTTAAGAAGAAGAGCTCTGCAGGGCTTGGGCAAAGCCGTTTGCAGCTGAAGGGGGCCCTCCTCCGGGGGGAGAGGCGGCTGCTGTCACCGCGTTGCTCTCACCCGCTCTCCGTGCTTTCCAAAATGTCTTGAATTTGGACCAGCAGAAAATCCAAACTCTAACGCCAGAGAAGAAAAATTTAAGAATGTGAAAATTGTGTCTTGCTGTATACTGCAACTTTAATAATAATGAGCACTTCTGAGTTCGTTATTGAGGTTTATATAATGCCTGAAAAGTTTAATTCCTGGTTTCCCTTATCTACCCTCTCAGAACACAAGAGTCCTGAGTTTTTGTCAGCAGCCCTTCCCTGTGGGAGGCAATTTCTGTTAAGTTTTCTCTCTCATGCTTTGCAGTGGGTGGGTATAGTCATACGTGCTCATCCTTTGCAAGCCACGCTTCTCAAGATGAAAGATATGATGAGCACGTGTCAGGATACTTAACTGGTGTGTTGACAGGAAGCCTTTAAATCGGTGTGTACAGTAATAGCAAACACACAACAATGAAGGATTGAAATTGGCTCACTTTTAAATATGGAATTTCACATCTGCACGGGTATGGCTGAAAAATGGATTTTACCCTTGTGGATATGCACCCCAAAGACTCCTTCCATTACAGTGCTATCAAGTTTGACGAAGGCATTATATAATTGTTTTCATCACTTTCAGATCTTAATGAATCGTATTTTATTGTAATATATATTCATTGCTTTCCTCAGTTAAAAAGAAAGTTACTGCTTTTATCTTATATGAAAAACAAGGGAATTTGATAAAGCATTCATTATTTTCATATTACTAGTATTAACAGAATAGAACTAGTACTATTTAATTTTAGATCTTCATAGCTAGCTTGTTAATAACTCATATTTTCCTGTGTTGTATCCTACTATCTTTCTATTTTTTCCCAAATACTCTGCATTCTTGAGGAAAAAAAACAAATCCAATGAGTGGATAAGTGCAATATTCATAGAATAAACAGGCCCCTCATCCAGGACTTGGAGTGGAACGTGCAGTGTGAAAAGTTTGCAATTCTCTATTCATGCACTCTTAAGGAAAGGGGAAATGCAAGGGAGGGGATGGCTGGATAAGAATAGGACCCTTGGGTAGGTAGGGACTGACAGGATAGCTGGGGTGGTTTGGGGTGGGAATGGCTGCTTTCCATGAAAAATCATCACCTGTTAATGAAAGTATAAGGATTATGCAGCATGTTGCCAGGATTATGTATAGAATGTGCATTAACATCTTTATCAATACAGGACTTCTGAGCTATGCTTGAAACACTCTGTATGCCATCCATGCATGATACTCTCTTCTGGTATGTCTCTGCTGGTTATGTCCTCTGTTACATTTTGGAATCAATGGTAACATCAGAAGGGAAAATAATTCTGCTGGTGCAGTCCCAAGTTTTGATACTGTGTTGTTACTTGTATTTATTGCAAGATCTATGGGAGTATTTTTACAGTTCCTTATTTCTTTTCCTTCCCTGTTGTTAACCTAAGACAAAAAGTCCCCATTTTATCTGGTTAGTTCTCACCTGCAGAATTTCACAGCTGGTTTGGGTATTGATTTCATATTCCTTGGCTTGCAAAGGCTGATCACTCAGGTCCAAAATAAAGTTGGGCAGAAACTTTGCTCTTCAAAGGAGCTTTTGTCTTAAATTCTATTTGAATGGGAGGAGAACTTCCATCTGTCAGAAATAATGTGACTTTCCAGGTAGCAGCAAAATCTACTACCTTTGAAAAACTGGATTGTTTTCATAAGATGCAAGAGAAATGTGAAAGCCAGAGCATTTGATTCTCTGAGCTCTGGCAAGTACATCTTCTGTGGCTCGTGTCACTGGAGAGGGGGTGTACCTCAGCTTTCTGCTTAATTTTTGTCCTGCTGTTCTTAAGTTTGTCAAAAAGCATTATTACCAGAGACCTTTGCATGCAAAGAGGAAAACTGAATTCTGCAGCTGTACTGAAATAGTTTCAATTACATGATTTTTTTAAAACCTCTAATACTTTACAAATGAATTTGGTTTTGAAGAGAGACCTCTAATTCTTTCACGTGCTCTTGTCTAACCTGGCAAGAATTCCACGAGCATCAGTAGAGTTACACTGACAGAAGACCCACAGAGGAGCAAAGCTCCTTGTGGGCACTCAGCATGGAACGTTCTCAGCAAAAGCAAACACCGTGCACTCAGTTTCTACACCTCCAAAGGGTGCACAGGCCTGCTAAGCCTTGGTGCTTTCATGCCTTGATCCACTTCCCTGCAGGTCTTGCAGCTTTTGGAAATCAACTGGAGCTTTGCTGCTATTTGCTGGTGGCTTCCCATCACCGGCAGCTCCTTCTCTGGCAACTGTAGATGCTACTTAGCCACATTGCAAAGTGCTGTGTATAAACGCAGTGTTTGATAGATGTCAACAGTACCAGTAGGATGGTCTGAGAGCAAATGTTTGTGTAAGTTATGTTATTTTCATTTGCTTGTAGTTGCTTGGTAGAAGCAGGGACCACCAATGCAGCGATGCATGAGGAATGTGTCTGCACACTTGAACTGTTTGATGGCCTCTGCTAGCTCTGCACAGTGCTTGCATTTCTCTTTCTCTCCCTCTGTGCTGCTCAGTAGTCACGTCTGTTGTGTGTCTGTAACTTTCAAATAAAGTACTGTATATAGGGCGGATCCAGAAGCCCCCACAGTCAGTTGACTTTGGGTTGGGATGTAGGTTGATGGTGCTGCTTTTCCTCCTCCATGTTAGACCCAACTTGGAGCAAAGCACAGATGTTTGTAAAGAGTCACCCATAACTCTACTTTGGGGTGTCAGTTTTGTGGGGTGTGCATGCATTGCCAAGGGTGGAATGATGAGGGGATCTTCTTTTATTGGGTGCCCTCACATCAGGGCTGGGGCTCCGCAGCGATTCCTGGAGTGAAAGCTGTGCTGCACTGCTTGCGGGCCTGACTGGCGTAGGCAGCACAAATTGGTTTCTCCCATTTTATAATGTCAGGGCTGGGCTGGTCCCATTAACAATGTTCTTCATTGTTCTCGCATCAAGGTAGCGTTGATTCTAGTTGAAGAGTGCAATTTTTTTTGTTTTGTGTTTGTTTTTTTAATAAATAAATTTGGTTTAAAGCTTCACACTGGCGTTTTTACAGACCTGTTCTTATCAGCATAAGCCACTACTGTCCTGAGTTGAGACTCCTGTTTGTTACTGAATCAAAATAATTATGGGAATTGTGTTGATAATTTGGAAATAAATGAGAGGTAACTATATTGGCAGAGGAGAGATAGATAAAATATGAGAAAAATATGTTTCTAATAAGGCCATAAATTATTGGGTCTGACACTGCAGGTGCTTTCTCTGTATAGATGGGTTTAATACATCACTGCTCTGTGTTAGGCTTTTTCATTAGTGAGAAAAGTTGAAGTTTTTCACTCCATGATGTACTATGACAATCTGTATCCTGAAGCCAATGATCCACCTAAGGAAGACAAACATAGGTTATGTGTTTGTTGTAACTGAGGCAGTTTGTGTGCCTGGGAGTTTGCAGACACTGAGGTTCAGCTGGTGGAGCAGGCAGGGGTTGCTCTTCCAGGTCTGCCTGCATTAGCCCTCTGTGAAACAACCC